TGGCTGCAAATTTGCCCTACACCCAGTGATTTTGCTTCCTTATTGGCCCATCTTTCCTTTTTTGTAATACCTCGATCATTACTATCTTTTTCACTTGAAATTGTCTTTGGAATTGTTGATGCATTGTCTCTTCCATCTATCAATAGTGCTTTATTCAATATATGTAGTGATTGCTTCCTCACCAAGCTCTCCTTGTCCACCTAAACAGGCTCAGCAAACAAACATAATCAACCTAACCACAAATATGAAATAAATATTTCTCAACAAATAAACATGAAATAAAATTGTTACAAGTCATTCTAAAATCCGTAATTGTACAAGTAATGAATCTCAATCAACAATAAACAATCGAAGGTATGTTTGACTACCAAGCCTCTTTTAATTTCTTCCCATAAATCTTTATCAGCTATGTCAGATTCTTCTCCATCATCACACATTCCAGCAACTCCAAGCTCTTCATTGTGAGGGAAAAAACATAAATAAAGAGACAAAATCCTATAGGCATCTCTTCTCTCCAAAGTTCCAAATGAAAATAGTTTTTTGCAACATTTCCATATTTTCATGAGGAAACGACTCCTGTAAGACAATCATGTGCAATAAGAAAATAAAGAGGTGAAACAGAATTCTTAAAACTAGAACATGCTACACGTTTGGACTAAAGTTCAAAGAACATGTAAGCCTAACCTGGAGATATTACATGCCTGCCCTTGAATGGAGACCTCTAAGGAGTGGTGAGAAAGAAGTGCTTCAAAGATTACTGGAAGAAGATAGTGAATGGCACAAGATCGATGATCCGAGCTTTGTAAGAGCATTTGTTCAGATAAATTGCAAATATCCCAAATAAGTTTAATAGTAAACTCTTCGGCTTTTTGGCCCCCATTTGACACCACTACATCTGATGCCTGTGGTGCTTGTCTGTTACCAAGGACAGCATCTAACATTACAGCCAACACGTGGCACGCTAATGGTAATTGAAGAAAGCCATAGGCTTTCATTGTTGAGTCCAAAATGACAGAACATCTATCACCCTCAAAGGTGCTCAACTCTTCATTTTGCAGCACGTTCGGGGAATAAATAGCTGAACTTATACAAAATGGAATTAGAGTTGCTTCGACAATTGGCCAAGAGTTCGTCTCAGTGACAACATCAATGAATGATCCAAAGACCTAATATCAAGAAATTAAGTCAACAGGTTAAGCATGCTCGAAAATTTCAGGTACAATTATCATCTGAGATTAGCTTTTATAAAATAGTACCTGGTTAAGCATTTCCCGATTCAATGTAGCCGCCTTATTTATCAAAGGAACAAAACTTTTCCATATAAATGACTTCAAAGCATCAGGATCAGCACCTAATGATTAAATTAGTTGACCATATGATTAACAGCACGTTACTACCTAAAACATTATATCCAGCTAATCCGAATTGCTGAAGTAATAACAAACATGATTGCCCAAATGAAATCCTAACAGATTGTCGACAAACCTCCATTCTAACAGAGTATAGAGACATGTAAATCTTCTTTCCTTTCCATTTTTCTAAGATAATATACTGGCAGAGGTCCAACAAATCAACTCAATTCTGATGGTTGAGTTGTCACTAGTGGAATGTAATGCATAAACCATATAATAAGAAATATCTAACATTCCTCGTTTGTAACACGGAACCCTCTGATGCAGATTAAAAAGGTAAAGCATTTGGAAAACTATTGAGTGAAGATGATGACTGACCAATTTTTTTAAGTATGTGGCACTGCGCGCACACCAAAGATGTGATGTAATTACATTGATCCGCATCAAGCTTTCCCTCCTTCGTAGTGACATCCTATTCAAAACAATTACCCCAGCTTAGACAAAAACTTTTATTATGTTTCTGCCCATTCCCCATTATCAAACAACTTTTGAGTTATCAAATCTCTTTTCTGGTTCATCCATCCTCTAGATTGAGTTAAAGGAAGTCGTTACTGTAAAACTCAACAAAAACATATATAGAAGCTACATACGTGCATGGATAAATACATATAGTACAGTTTCCATGATGAGGTTCTTACAGGCAATAAACATAGCACATGCATATAGAATAATATGTATTTGCTTGCATGTTTTTACAGCCTAAAATTAAGTCACAACTAACGAAGTGGAGTATTTCAGAGAAGTACATCAATATTTTTCGGAAAATTCTCAAGAAGCGAATCAAAAAGCTCGGATGGGGATAACCCAGTAGAAGCAAAAATGCAATCCAAAATAGCTGGAACTGCCATTGGAGGCACTCTCCGGAAGCTTTCTGATACTGAACTGAAAACAGAAGCCATCGAGAAACTCTTGTTGTTCGACATCTCCGCGACAATTGGACAATATCCAGAAATGCTTTCAATTCAAACGGTCCGATTCATAAACCCTAGGGTTTTTCCTTTTGCTGCCCATTTCTTTTTTTCTTTCTTTCTTTCTTTTTTTTTTTTTTTTTTTTTTTTTTTTTTTTTTTTTTTGTCTAAAATTCTTTTTCCGCCTAAAAATGCATTCCCAAGTAAGAGGTACATAGGTGGTTCTCAAGAATTCAATCCAAACAATTTTTTTTTTTTTTGAATGGTCAAGTTACTAAAAAAAAAAATTATTTATCCATAATTCATGATTATTAAACTTTAATTTTAAATAAAAATATTAAAAAAAATTCTAATTTGACTCTAAAAAAGTCCTAAATAAAAGTATTTAAGTTTCGTATTTTAACCTAAGATATATGTCAAATTTATTAAACTTGAGCATTCCTTATAGTTTCGTTGAATAATATCGAAAGAAACTTAATTTTTTCACGTAATGATTTAAGTGTCTCGGGTTCGTATTTTAACCCAACATATGTGTCAAATTCATTCCAACTTATTACTCTCGATATAAGAGCCAAAAATAATTAGTTAAAAGAAATTACGCACAAAAATAAATAAATAAATAACTGTATTTATTTACATTGAAATAGACTCTAATTTATCTCACAAAAATTATTTTAAAAATTTATCTAAAAAAATTATATATATATATATATATACTTTAATTATATAATAAATATATTATAATTCAAAATAATAAAAATAATTTGTCTGTTAAAACCTTCTCAAATAATAAGAATTTTTTCAAAGATAGTATATTTTAATTTAGAAACTGTCGTAGACACTATAACAGTTAAAACTCGATATTAAAAATAACTTATTTTTCATTAAACCGGATGAAAATAAAAATGATGGATTGAAAGTAAAAACAATTCTTAAAAAACTTTCATAATCGGTATTTAATAGGTAAAATGAAAACCATTTAGTTTTAATATTACTTAAATAACACTTAACCTAATATATTTTTTCTAAATCTAAATGTATGCCTAAATTATAATGGCCGGAAATGCTTTCAATTCAAACGGTCGGAATCATAAACCCTAGAGTTTTTGCTTTTGCATCTGACTGTTCTCTCCCTGTCTCTTGGAAGGTGAAAAAACCAAACACAAATTATTACTTTTTAATCCCTCTTCTAGACCAAGTATAAATTAGATAGGCTTCTTATATATAAAAGTTATATATTAATGGTAAAAAAAAATATATATATATATACTCGAGATGTGAATGCTCGTGATTCACTCAATATAGTGATGGATATCATGGCTGAACTACAAGGAAGATTTTCTAGAATTAGTCCACTTCCCATTATTCGACAATAAAAATTTACCACGTGTAATTAAAAGAGTTATTGAAAGATGACTAAAACAAGAGTGCACCGTGTAATTAAAGGAACCAAATGTTATTAAGATACCTGTAGACTCTTATTGCAACCTTAACCTAGTAGGCATCCATGGGCTTTTCTTTAAGCTCTATGAAGTTCAGGTCTAACTTTATAGTTATTCGAGTTTCTAGGTAAGCCTCGAAGTTTTGAGTGTTTCTTATAACCATCACAAACCTACTGTGGGTCTAGAGGTGATTCATTCATTTTTGACGTTGGGAGTCGACTAGGTGACAAATCTCATTTTTAGGGTGAACCAATTTTTTGTTATTAGACTTAGTCAACTTGCATCGCAATAGATGGTCTAAAACCTGAGTTGATATGCTATCTCATAAAATTTGATAGAACAATATGACATATAGCGGGTCTAAACATCAACTATAGAAGGTTAGTTAGCAACCTTTTCATTGGGACATAGAGTCACTCTGAATCTGGAGGAGCAACCCTCGTGTGCTGCCCAACTACTAGGTTATCTACATCGTCTTACACCCCTTCCAAGACGAGTTTATGACGCATATGTCCTGTTTGGGAGACTCCTGACCTTTTTCACACATGATAGTGACACTTAGTTGTCTCGATGTATTACATTATCATGCCTAAGCCTGACTTGACTGTATTTGTACTTCTACTGCTTGGTAGGGTGGGGCTAAACTCAATGTACTCACGTTCATGTTGTAACATGTGGCAGGTTGAAATTCTTGTAGTCGACTCTCAGGGATTGAGTTCAATTCTTCACGGATGTAAGGATTTCTTGACAAAGCAACACGCGATGCACCTCTCAGTATGTTGCATAAACTTCGTTATATTTTAATTCACAAAATTTGAAGATATTTATTTTAGAAGTGGTTGTTAATGTGTTTAAATTAAAAAAATTAAATTAAATTTAAAAACTAAAATAGATATTTTAAAAATTTTGAGGAAAAAAAAAATACTTTTAAAATGGAAAATTTAAATAGAATAATTTTGAAAGCATGTAAGATACAACCTTAAATTTAAATAAACAAGATATATAAAATATTCCATCGTCAAAAAACGAGAAATTATCACGTGACTTCAAATCAACCAGTGAATGTGAAGCTCACTGTCGCTCATCGGCCGCCATTTCTCCACCTCGAGCATCCAATAAAAAGCGCCACCATGGATTGCTATTCCTACCAATTCTAATTCGTCCTGATCAAAGAGAAAAAAAGTTCGATCGGAATTCAATAAACAGAATCACAAGATAAAATCCGTCTCCCGTTTGATATGTGGAGCTTCTCAGCGCACTCCCATGGAGCATCTCTTCTAATTATCATCACCACTTCAAGTAAACCATCTCTTGTATCTCTTTGTATCTTCCCCATTTGATTCCCGATACAACTTTGGAGAATCGCGAATTGAATCTTTTTTTTCTTAGATGGAAATGCGTTCTCTATCGACTAAAGAAATCCCTCTTTGTATTGCGGCGAATTGAAACTCACGTTACTGTAATTTATTTCAGGTTTGCTTGGAGTTACGTTTGGTGGAGAAGGGTTTTGTTCAGCGCCCTCCATTATCGATTCGGATGCCGATTCGAAGCCTTTGTATTATAAAGCGACCAATCCTACTCTTTCTCCTTCTCATCTGCAAGGTTGGTAATTTTGTATGGGGCTTTATGATCAAATGAACAGTTACAAAGACGTGGTGAGAAATTGTTCTTGTTATGAAGTGGATTTTGCAGAATTTCGGCATTTCCATTTTGTTATTAGTTTGATCAAGTACTTAGTTCTGGGCGTGAAATTGAGTATTCAATTCATCTTATGTGGAGTATGCTGTTGCAATTTTCCATCACTCTCTGGCTTTTCTGATACAGTTTATGTGGTATAATGTTAGAATTTTCCCACTAGTTGATCTACACCTTATGAAAATTTGCTTAGAGTTCAATTCATGGTAACCACCTACCTAGAATTTAATACCTCATGCTTTCTTGACAACCAAATGTAGTGAAATCAAATGATTTTCTCGGGTGATCAGTGAAGGTATGCTCATAAATTTCAAAAAAGAAGGATAAAAAGAAAATAAAGAAGAATGTAGTTACTATTTGAACGAGATGGAGACTGCTTGAAACTAAGTAACATTTTTTAAAGTAAAACGAAATGTAGAAACGTATCCTACCAAAGCTCTAGAGATGTCTTAAGACTCTTAACAATGTTTTGATGACGACATTAAGAAATTAAGCGTCATGGATCGGAGCCCGTTTTTGTTTTAGATTGGCTTGTATTCTCCTTGTTTTCTTTCATTTGTTCTCAGTGGAGGTTTCGTTATTCATAAATTTAAGAAAAAAAAAAAATTACTAATGTCCATGTTTGGCTATCACCAGATCGTAATGTTTAATATTCTTATTCTGGTAAAGTGATCTTTATTTTTCAAGAATGTAACAGTAAAACAGGAACTTCTTCATTTAGGGACTTGGTTTGAATAATTTACAATAAAAATGTTATAACTACGTATTGCTATCTCGACGTCACTTGTTTCTTTTGTGCAGATTTGCCTGGTTACACTCGCAGTGTTTATAAAAGGGATCATGCCTTGATAACACCGGAAAGTCAAGTGTTCAGTCCTCTACCTGAGTGGTAATTTTGGTCATCATCTTACTTTTGAACATTCTTGTTAATTATTCTTTGCAAGGCCTGAATTATTTTTTTCCCTTTGCAGGACTAAAACACTTGGCGCATATTTAATCACACCAGCACTTGGTGCACATTTTGTGATGTATCTTGCGCAGATGCAAGGTTTAGTTGAACTTTGCCACGAACCTTTACATAATGCGCATATATACACAACGAGTATTTTTTATAATATTTTATTCATATTTTCTTTTATTGTATGAGCTGCAGAGAAATCAAAATCAGGATTGCCCCCACATGATGTTGAGAGGTGTACTTTCTTTTGCCTTCTTTATGTAGTCCCATTGCAGAGAAATTGATAATATTTACCTAATACCTATATCATGCAACTGACATTTCAAATTTTTATCTATGGTCTTCATACTAGATTTTTATTTGTTGTTCAAGGAGCAGTGAAACTTACCAATTCGTCAGGCATAAGCGAAAAACTTACGGTAAGACAGAGTTGTCAATTTACTTGTTCATATTTTTTCTCCAGTGTCAGATGCTTGCTTTGTAGTTAAGAATAAGATTTAATGGTTTATTTCCTAGAAATGTCTATAAGAGTCATTCTTCATAGTTCATACATTTGGATTTCATTTGATATTCTCAAGGCTGCAAATCAGCTCATACAAGAAAGGTTTGTGTTGAATAAAGTACCTAATTCCCTCATCATATTATTTCATTGTCCTGTTTGAATGGTTGGCTAGCATGAAGGCCGATGATTTGTTGCTAGTGAAGTTCACAGATAAGAACAGCACCCTGAATTTTATAGATCGAACATTGAAATACAAGTATATAAATAGATTCATTTTTATTCAATGGAAACAGTGATTTGTGCTCATGTAGACTGTCTGTTATGGTCGATAATTGGATTGTTTGCGGAGTGAAACTGCTCCCGTGATATGATCAATAGTCGAGAAGTCTGATGATATTTATGAATCTGTGAAATGAAGGTTGATTCATTTGCTTATCTACCTCCGAATATCGACCATTCCGTGAAGTGTGACTCTTCTGCTACCCTTGTGGTTTTTGAAAGAAGGTTTGTTTCCACCTATTAACTATAATATGCATGAAATGGCTTCACATTTGTGCACCAGTCATCTTCACTCCAGTTCATGATAAGCATTTATCAATACTTGCATCATGTATGTATTTGTTCTTTCACCTGAAACCAATGTTCTAAGAAATGATTATGAAACTGTTCAGTATATCTATTGTCACATATATCACAGGAAATACTTCAATAACATTGCTAATAATTGGCTTATAAACAGTTCACCTCTCGTGACTTCGAATTGTCTCATTTAATCAGGTATGCTTCTCTGGAGAATCATCACCCCAAGCAGATCATTGGTTCGACAGACAAGCAGCCCCTCCTCGAAACTCCTGGTGAGGTAAGCGAGGATGTTTCTCCTTGCTTTAGGAAGGTTAAAAGTTTCTTTTGGAAAAGGAAACACAAATATTCATTGATAATATGCAACTTTACGAGTAAAGATGCAAGTTCTCAGTAAGAACTGCTGTAGATTTAAACTTACAAAATTTAATAAACTATCCTTGGAACAAAGGTTCTTCTGAACATCTTATAGATATGTTCTTATATCATCCTACAATATATTTGAAAGTTCTTCCTTGTGTTGTATCACATTACCAGATCTTTCAACTTAGGAAGCTCCTTCCCATGTCCATGCCGTACGATTTCAATGTCCATGTAAGTTATGAGTTGCAATTGAAAGATTAGTTCTTTTGTCTCGGTCATGAGCTTTCTTATAGTTATATTGAACATCTTTTCCCACTAGGTCATGGATTTTGAGCCTGGGGAGTTTCTTAATGTGAAGGTAATTTCATGAAGTTCAAATCTTACATTTCTTAGCTTTGGTTGGTTTTAAACTTCCTTCTAATTATTCGGTTTATACGTTATTCGATGGAAAAATACATTCCTTTTAAATTGGATCTATATTATGCCTCTTAATTATAGTTTTTGTTGAACGGTTGACAGGAGGTTCATTATAATCAGCATGGTTTGTTTCTCTTAGAGGGCCAGGGCATTTATCGTTTGGGCGAAAACTGGTAAATATTTCATTCCTCTTGCTCGGAGTTGATCGCCTTTCATATATATATATTATATATATATATATATATATATAGATATAGATATATAAGCTTGAAACTAGTTTCACATTTTCTTGGGCAGAGCTGGAAATTTTCTTTGGGTGGGATAAATTTTTTATTTGCACCTCTCGTGCACATAAATCTTTTAAATTCGGTTAACTAGACAAAGGTAAAGACATCTATCCTCAACCAAGAAAGAAGTTAGAAGTTGAAGTAAAAAAAAAAAAACATAGAAATCTTTTGGTTTTAAAAATTTAGGAGGGAAAATTAGAGACAAGATTTAGAACTAAGAGGGCCCCCCTGCTCTGCCCTTCTCCTTGTTTACTCCACTCTTCTCGACATCATCCATTCATCACAAAGTCCACATATAACAAATAAATCAGCAAACAAACATGTATTTTAAATAGAAGATAGATATGCATAGCTTTTATCTTGTAAGATGCACTGTAGGGTTCTTATGACATGTGACTAAAATCAAAGAAATACAATTCATTTTTCGTTCTTGTTCAAAATATTTCTCATGGACTTCGCACTTGTTCTTATTATTGCTGTTCTTGTAGGTACCCTGTTCAATCTGGTGATGTCATTTGGATGGCTCCCTTTGTACCGCAATGGTTAGTCAAATGCATATATGTTAGACTTGTTCTTATTCATCCTCATTACAATATAGTGTAAACTAGGTTTGGGTTTAATATTATATGATCTTTTCAGGTATGCTGCACTCGGGAAAACACGAAGTCGCTATCTGTTGTACAAGGATACGAACCGTGATCCCCTTGATCACTAGTAGTATGTTGATGCAACATTATAAGATTACTATCATATGAACACAGTGAACTGGTAGGATTTATTTTAGATTGTTGAAATGGAATAGTGCATTCCCCCTGCAGACCCCTTTGATTTGAGTAACGTTTTTAAGGTTAAGCATACAATAAATACTTGTTGCAAATTTCATAGTCCATTCAATTCATATTGAATGACTTTTTTCTGCTAAAAATACTTCTTAAACATTTAAAAATTTTATCATTTTAAAATTGTATACTAATTTTTATCGATTATAAAATTTATTTTGACAGAATAAAATGTATCTATTAAGTTATAAATTTTATGTGAGATCCCACATCAGTTGATGAAAAGAAAAACGAAAGGAACATTTGACTAAAAGCACCACTATCATTTGACTAAAAAGTATCCTTACCCGTAGACACGTTACATTTTAAATGGTTTGGATTAGAATGCAATTTTGTCCTTTTTAATTTATTTTATCAATTAGAAATGCCACGTGCAACTTCAATACTTAATTCCACACTTTTAGGAGACCCTTTTTTAAAATGGAACATTTGACTTTGTGAAACAAACACTAATAAAGTACTGAATTTTGATTTATTTCAAGGAATTCTCACAAACAAAAGCTTTCAAGAAATCATTCAGATTAGACAAACATTCAGTCTCCGTATGTAAAATTTATTACCTCAACAGAAAAGATATTGGAGTTGCAAGTTGTTATTATAGAGCAAATAACGCATTATGGAAGATTCTTAAGCAACAGACCCATTTTCTACAAGCATCCCATTAGAGCCAGGCTTAGAATGCATCCTTTTCCTCCGCAACCTTTGGGATATTGCAAAGGCCAACTCCAGCGACTGCGAAGCATTCAGTCTCGGATCGCAGTGGGTATGGTAGCGAGAATTCAGGTCGTCGAAAGTCACTTCCTTCGACCCTCCGACGCACTCTGTCACATTTTGTCCAGTCATTTCTAGATGAACTCCTCCAGGGTAGCTCCCTTCTTGCTCATGAACATCGAAGAAAGCTCTCAACTCGGCCTAAGTCAAATGAAAAGATAACATCAATATCTAGCAAGATTTACAGTGAGTATGCAATGTGGATTCTTGTTGGTAGACAGGCTTTTACCCTTATTGAATCAAATGAACGAGTCTTGAGACCACAAGGTGCCTTTATTGTGTTGCCGTGCATGGGATCGCTAACCCATGTGACAATAAGCCCGGCTTGACGCACGGCTCTAATGAGATGAGGTAACTTGACTCGCATGTTATCGGCTCCCATTCGGGTGATTATCGTAAGACGTCCAGGTTTGTTGTGAGGATTCAAAATCTCACATAACTGAACAAGCTCTGCTGGATCCATCTTGTCACTTACCTACATAACAAAGCCACTGACTTGATCAAACACATTATAGCGAAGTACCTCCCAGATTTTGAATTGATCAAGCACTTCGTATCTAGATGCAAACAGTGAATCTATCCCAGTAATAACAGCTGTTGTTGGGTACCTTAATGCCGAGAGGATTCGACACGCCCCGCAGGAATTCAACATGAGCACCATCCAACTGTCGAGTCCTCTCACCTACCCAAAGCATGTGAGCAGAACAATCGTAATAGAGGCCTGTCGTTGAGTCCTCCCTCGTCAAGGCTTGCTCGTATGGTAAGTGAAGGCACTCATGAGAGGTCCAGAAATCAATTGTGTTCATTATAGGATGGTCCATAGTGATTCCAGCAGCTGCCATGAATCCAAGCGCTTCATCAACTCTCTGAGCAAGTTCTTTATACCTGTAACCAATACGTAAATCTTCATTTAGTTCATTATACCTGCACCCAATAAGATAATCTTCATCATAGGATAGTCCATAGTCTAGCTATTACACTAGGTGCTCATGGGACACCGATCACTAGACTCGGTTTTGTTTAACCCAAAGGCCAACTCTAGAAGATAGAAATATCGGAACGGAAGACATTAAGAAGCATCTCAAAACCTTGCAAGTGCTTATTGTCACGGTCCTACATTCTTGACCGTGTGGCGTCGTGATCTATACACGCTCACGACTAGCCTTAAGGGGAATTAAGCCCTATATATATTTTTCGCCCCGGCTTTGTGGCTTCGTCGGACCTTAGGCGAGGTTTGTCTTCGCCGATCGAACATCGCTTGTGCGGAATCCAAGCTTGTCCAACCACACACGCCGCCTGTGCGTGTATGTTTAATCGTCTGCGACACATCCGACTTACCTCTATGCTAGGCCAACTCATTCGGTTCGACCTTGCCTCTATTCGGGCCAAGGTCTCTCAATACAACGTCGCATCTCGTCTTGCCATCTCGATCCCCATCGACGAGGTCCATATGTCTTGACGCCATCCCGAGTCTCGGGATGTCGTCGGCCATCATAACTCGTTCGGTCGTGCCATCGAGAATGGGCCCGCGTGTCGTTCATCTCATCAGGGCTTCCCGAACATCCATCCATCCGGGTTCTATCGAGGCATAGGCCCTCCCGTGCCCATGCCAAGTCATTTACGGATACCGTACCGGATAGCGGGTGTATGTAGCAACCTCCAACACGCGGGCTAGGGCGCAATACTGGCACACCCGTGCCGTCCGGTACTGTCCTTCAAAAACCCATTTCAAAGGAAGTCGCCCAAGACACTCGTCTCGGCACGCTCGCCCACACTGTGACACACGTATGTGCCACAGGGTAGCTTTCTCCTCGTTTTCTAAAACCTTCTTTTAAAACCGAGGCTAGAGGCTCGACCGTACGTCGCTTGGCCGTAGGCGACGCAAGAACAAATTGGCTTAACTCACTTGTCGCTGGAAAGTGAGTGCCGCACAATCGCTAGTCCGCTGCCTTCGAAAGTGCGATTGTGTCACTTATCACCAAGCCACTCCTCAGGGTCATTCAGTACATGAGGCTAAAAGACCAACAAATTGGACACTCCTTTTGAAACAGGGAAAAGGCTTTTTCTTTCTCATTTTGAGAAGATGGAGAGGCTGAGTTCATAATGAAGATCATAAATTTAGATCTCAAGGACGCAGCCGTACAACCTATAGTCTACAGGACAGATCTGTTCAAGTAAGGCAATTATTGAAGAGCATAAATTGTAAAATGACAGTCACCTGTCTCCTTGCTCACTGTGTTGAACGAAGTCGAGATTCCATTGAGAAACTCTCTGCATTGCAGCGTATCCTCCAGTGGCAAATGCTCTAAGAAGATTCAAAGTGCCTACAGATTGGAGATATGCTCTAACCAATCTCTGAGGATCCGGGGTTCGAGATTTCTCGTCGAAAGCATCTGCATTGATGTTATCTCCACGATAACTTGGGAGCTTTACACCATCTTTAACCTCAAATGAATCTGACCTGGGTTTAGCAAATTGTCCTGCCATTCTTCCTACCTGTGAACATAGTTGGTTGATCAAATTTATATCAAAGAAATTCCAAACTCAAACATTTCTCATCTTTGAAAGGATTTAATAGACGACAGACTGGTATACTCGGATATTGAATATGTGTTTGGTAGAAAATTTAGCATAAAACATGCTAATGTTGTTTTCAAAATCTTCACTTCCAGGGTTGTAGAATCTAAATATAATCCAAATACAGCTTTTAGAAATTGATATACCAAATAAAAATTCCCAGAATTCGTTTAATTCAATGAATCTGAAAACAATGGACTGACTGAATTTGGATAAGATAGTGAACAGATCTAGATAGAGTATTTGCAATATCTTCCCAATGTGAATATGAATTCAAAAAACGAGATACCAACAAATGCAGGGTACGTGTAAACAATCATGGATTGAGATCACATCATGCATATCACAATAAGTCATCAACAGTGAAGTAACATATGAATAAAATAATCGGAGATAATCGTATAAAATTCAAGAATCCGACAGAAATCAACCTTTATAATGGGCATTTGGGCGCCATACGTAAGAACCATACCCATCTGGAGCAAAACCCTGAAGGTATCCCTAATATTGTTCCCATTAAACTCCTTGAAGCTCTCAGCGCAATCCCCACCTTGAAGCAGAAACGCTTCGCCAACGGCGGCCTTCGCGAGGCTCTCTTCGAGCTTGCGAGCCTCGCCAGCGAAGACGATGGGCGGGAAGGACTCGAGAACGCGAAGAACGGACTCGAGCTCATTAGGGTCGGGATATTCAGGGAGCTGAAGGGCCTTCTTGGATTTCCAAGAATCAGGCGCCCAATTGGAGGATCCAGAAGTGAAATGCGTGGAAGAAGAAAAAGAAACGGCGGAGGGAATGGTCCGGCAGAATTTGGCGGCGTTGGGGATGGGAAAATGAGGTTTGAAGAGGAAAGATTTGGTGGTGGGAGTTGTACGGACGGCGGAGGAAGTAAGAGGAGGGAGATTTGTGGAGGCGGAGATGATCATTTTTTACCTTGTTTGTGAGTCTCCAGTCGCCGGTAAACTCTGAAGTCGGTTCTGTTGCTGGCTGGATAATGGGCTCGCTTTACGTCTGTGTATCAAATTTGTTGGGGACCACCTCAATTTGCATGTATATATAATATATATATATATATATATATATATATATAATTCTTTTATATTACTTTTTTTTAGTTTATTTATTATCTTTCTTCCTAAGTTTTATAATAATTAAACTGGCCAATCGTGTAATTATATTAATAAAAATATTTTGAAATTTTTCCTAATATCCATATTTTTTTAAGTTTTTAAAGTCTTTTTTTTTTAAATATTATTTATTTGCATGGAATTTATTAATACTTTATTTTTTAAAAAATAATTTTGAAGTTTAAAGAATATTTAGTATTTTTTAAAATACAAGTTTTTTTTAATACTCTTTAATACCACATTTAAAATACTTAAATTTTTAGTAATTTTTTTTTTATATTTACAATTTCTCATTTTTTTTTATATTTTTTATATTTTATTATTAGTCGATCTCTATAACTTTCTCCATTTATTATTATTTATTTTGTATCTCTCCCCTTAAATATTTAAATGGGAGAATCTCTTATATTTATGAATATTTAAAATAATAATAATAATAATAAATTTCACACAACAATTTATTTTTCAATTATTTTTTTTAGAAATTGATTATTTGAGTATTAAAGTTTCTTAGATTTATTTTTTGAAAATAATTTGAGAAGATTTTTTTTAATCTAAAGTTTTGATATTTAAGAAAAG